GCATAGGAAGCTAGCCAAACATGTCATTCTGAACCGACTGACAGAGTATGTCGAAGAAAAGGAATACTACCCCTACACTATAATCAGATATAGGCCAGGTTTATCAACGCAAGACCCCATGCTGAGAATAAAGAAAAGTCTGCTGGATCGCCCCACAAGAGATACCAAGGCGCTGCTGGGTCTCGACGTGGAGCAAGCTTTTGACAACATCCGACATCAAGCCATTGTGACCGCTACATCTGAAAACAATCTTGGCACACGTTTCTATCACTACGTCAATGCTTTTCTAAAGGAGCGAACGGCGACTCTACGGATAGGCGAGCAAGTCTCTAAAAGCTTTGAGCTGGGCGATAAGGGAACAATACAAGTCTCAATACTTTTGCCATTATTATTCAATTTGGCTATTGCAAAGCTCTCTTGCGCACTGGGAGAAATAGCAGATGTGAAGCATACCATTTACGCAGACGATATCACCATTTGGGGCACCGGTGGCAGCGATGCGGAGTTAGAATCCCGCATGCAAGACGCAATCTCAGTCGCCAAAGCACATCTCACCCCAATGGGACTTCGCTGCTCTTCCAGAAAATCTGGGCTGCTTGTCTACCATTTTCCCAGATGAGGACGCCCATTAAAAGGCTGGCGCGGACCCGTCCCTCCAAGCATAGAGTTACGTGATTCGGACGGCAACCGCATACCTAGAGTCCACAAAATTCGCATCCTTGGACTCATCATCCAAAGTAATGGCTCCAACTTGGCGATGCTGGAAAGCATCCCATTCAAAATTGGGAATGCGCTTCAAATGTTTCGGCGCATCATGAATCAGCACAGAGGACTGGGCGAAGATAACGCCACCAGAATGGTCCACGCTCTTCTTCTCTGTCACATAAGATACGTGGCTGCGATGCTCAACTGGAAAAATGTAGAACGGCAAAAGCTCGAAGTACACATATGACGCACTTTTAAGACAGCGTTGGGGCTCCCAGATAATGCCTCAACTGCTCTCCTCTTACAGCTAGGAGTGCACCCTTGCCGAAATCATCGAGGCCCAGCACACAGCACAGATCGCACGCCTCTCCAGCACCAAAGCGGGCAGAGATATTCTTGTCAAGCTCGGCTTGCACACCATCGCGGAAAGGGACAACGTACAGAAGTTATCCCAAGTCTTGTTAAAATCAATTACAGTGCTCCGCTTCCCAAGAAGCGTACACCCGGTCCACAATCAGGGAAGAAGACTCGCCAGGACAGAGCCCTCGCGACAGACACCACAAGATTTCCCGACCAGACAGCTTCCGTGGATACAGCGGACATACCAGGAAAGCACGCCTACTCGGTCGTAGTAATTGACAGACATGGACGAACATGCAGCTCACTCACTGTTTACATTAAGAGGCCAAATGCAGCTGAACAAGCAGGGATAGCTCTAGCACTAACAGGCTCGAGCTTCACAACAATATACAGTGACTCTAGAGCAGCCACTAGAGCTTTCGCAAAAAGGTGGGATAGACAAGACGACATAGCGAATGTTAGGCAAACATAACATCACCGAACACTCAATCGTATGGTTCCGGGCATACATGGGCTGCTTAGCGGGCAACCTGCGGAATCTCAACGAGACCGCACACAAGGTGGCGCGAGGACTCATCGACCGCGTCACTTCGGCTTACCCCTCTACACTGAACATAGAGTACAGGGATCAGTTATTCACTTTCAACAAAATTACGAAGCACTTTTATCTAGGCAGGTGAGAGTTCCCCCTCCTGGATAAAAAATTAACGTGCATCCAGTCGGTCACGTTACGCTTGCTCCAGACTAACTCATACCCCAGCCCCTGGCGCATGAAGCATATTGACCCAGACTACGACTGACAACATGTGTGTGAACAGTGTTGTGAACGTGTAGATTTGGACCATATGCTCTGTGGTTGTGCATCGAGTGGCACTTACACCAAGAACAAGCAACAGTGGGCCAAACTGCTAAGAAGTGCTTCACTAGCAGACCGGACTGTCCAGGAGGCCCGCCAGGCGGCGGAGAGCTTCGGGCTCTCTGTCCCGACGTGGAAGATACCCTCTACACCTGGCATCTAGCCGAGTGTTCTTCAGGACCCCTTTTCCTTTTTTTGAGCAATAAAGTTCCACCCCCACCACTTCATTGTGGCCTTCTATGGAAAGCCCCCACTGTGGCTTTCCACAGCATTGAAGTGGTGCAATTGGCACAACCTACCAGAGGAAGCTGGTATGTCATGATTACTTTTGAGTAGCAAAATGGAGAGTTGGGCTCGTTGGCTGGTATTCATAGTGGAACAGTGCAGAGGCGAATCACAAAGAACTGAACAACACTGGCTGACAATTGATTGCTTTATTCAAGCGAAACAGGAAAGCAAAGAAAAGAAAGAAGAATGAAACATGAGTGCGGAGCCTACGCATGTGACAAGATACTACATATGTAACATCATCAAGTTTTTTCTTCAAATACGTCATCTCCCAATCCAGTAATGGAATTGACAGGGCACTAACACACACATCAGCACGACCAACGTTTTCAGGCACACTGAATCTCGCATAAGAGACAGAGCGGAAGCCTTCACTGTCAGCAAAAAAGGTGAGGCCTGAGTTAGTGCACCATCGATTGCATTATTATATCGCGAGCTGACGTATTTGGAAAAAACTTGATGATGTTACACATGCAGCCTTTTGTCACGTGCATAGACGGCACACATGTTTCGTTCTTCTTTATTTTGTTTGCTATTCCGCTTCACTTGAATAAATCTATCAGTTGTCAGCGAGTGCTGGTGTTGTTCAGTTCTTCTTTGTGATTTGTCTCTGCACTGTTCCACTATGAATACTTTTGAGTGCCCATTTTTGGCAAATAGTGCTTTGCCATTGACTGTCATAAACAAGTTTTTTATGCAGCTGTAATTATTCTGCCTGACTACAAAGCAAACGAAGCTCATCGTGTGACATAATAGGGAACTTGCATGAACGGCGGAGATGCTATGGACTCTGGGAAGGCAGCTATTTTTTCATCAGAGGCGGCCGAGGAGTGGAGCAGAGCAGTCGTGTTTGCGAGCGTTGCCGTAGCTTGCAGGTGTGATCGAGTGCGCCGGGAATTTGACTACAAGAAGTGTCGTGCACGATCTCAGCCTTACCGGAAAACTACACCGCACCGCTGTTCTAGAAAGACTTCGAGCAATACGAAGAAGAGACGAGAATTCGCTCCGAGTGGTCCCATTCACGCTTCATGCGGGCAACTGTGTAATCGAAGTGCACTTGCGGGCGTGCGTCGACAGCTTCGATATTCATGAATTTTTCGTTCTGAGGACGAGTTTAAAAACCGGGGAGTAGATGAAACCCAGAATGGTTCTCAAGGGTCACAACTTTGTGAAGAGTGGCCAGGTGCGACAGCCGTGAAAGTCGCCGCCGACACCGTGGTCGTCATCACTCAAGTAAGACGTGTTAAATTGAGGAGCGCTCTTTTCGTGCACATGCATCGTACTCCACGTAGAGTAACAGCGCAGTGGGATGCGAGCAGGCTTCACTGTTCTCGGCCATGCATGTGCAGTGCGCGGCAAGGACCTCACCATCACTCTTGCCTATGAACAAGACGCCGACGGGAGGCTTGTTAACACACTGGGAGTTTAACCTGAACAGACGCAAACATTAGCATCTACGGCAAAATCAAGTAATTTAACACCTCTTACTTGAGTGACGATAATCACACTGTCACGGCGAATTTCTTCACCCACCACCCCCCCAACCAGCCACTTGTCACAAGGTTGTGGCCCTTGATTGCTTTTGGACTTCAACAGCTCCCAGATAATCAAACTCGTCCTCGAAACGAGAAATTCATAAATATCGGAGCTGACAACGCGCGGCCACAAGTCCACGTCACTTACACAGTCGCCCGCACGAAGCGTGAATGGGTCCAGTCGGAGCTAATTCTCGTCTGTTCTTCGTACCGCTCGAGGTCTCTCTGGCACAGCGTTGTGGTGTAGTCTTCCAGTGAAGCTGACATCGTGCACGACACTTCTTGGAGTTAAATTTGCGTCGCGCTCGCACTCAATTACGCTTGCAAGCTACAGCCAACGCACGCAAACACGACTGCGCTGCTGCACTCCCCAACCGCTTCTGACAAAAAAATGGCTGCATACCCAGAGTGCATAGCGTCACAACCGTTCATGCAAGCTCCCTATAATTTCAAAACGGCAGGCAAAGTTTTTTATTAGTATGCATTCTATCATGACAATGTGACCACTCTCATAACACAACACTAAGTTGTTAACTCCGTCACGACGCTGAATCATATGAAAGGGGTGGGCATTGCTATGACAGAGTGGAGAAGAGTTGTGCGATTGGTAGCGCATGCTCAAAAGTGATTCCAGCTATTTCCAACAGGTGTTGCGAATGTCCAACATTCCTAACTGTTCAACGGTAAACTTCTTATGCGGCTCTGGTTAGTGACAATTTTTGGTTTTGTGATGTCAGCATAAGTTATATGCAAGCTAAAACAGCGCTACCTCACAAATGTCTTTGTGCTCGTTGTTTTTACGGTGAACTTGCTTGCTATTCGAAGCAGTACCACCAGAGTGCAACTAAAATGAAATAACGTGCAGATTCAAGAGCATTAATGCATGACGCGATAGTGTGTCGTCAGTATGTTGTGAATGCAGTCGTCATGCACCAATGCGCTGAAGTTGCGGCTCATACGCAAGCCTAATCCACTTCATGCTACGCCTGTTCGTGGCAGAATTAGATCACCATGTAGAACAGGACCACTAATCTACTTGAATTATCAAAAGCCTACTGATCATCACTAAACTAAGTGGTTGTCAGCTAGAGATACGGGTACAGGAGTGGGCAGCGAATGCAGCGATCCCGGCGCGCTACGAAATGGGCAACAATAGGAAGCACACGCGATGAAAAGCTATCCTACGCCGCTCAGAGGAGTCACCATCATCATACTCCACTAAGTGTGCAAATGACACAGAGACGCACGGAACTCACTTTCCGTTAGGATCGTCGCGCGCCTTGCTCTTTCCGCGAGACAGGACACAGCAGTAGTGGACGTATGTGAACTGCCATTTCTCGTCCACGGCCGGCAGCTTGGTCTTGCACTTGAGCCGGCTCTGCTCGAGTTTCTTGTTGTAGCTCCTGACCGATTTGGAGGCGTACACCTTAAAGCCCTGGTCGGTCGCCTTGCAGAACTCCTCCAGCGCACTCTTCCACTCGACGAACGAGTCGAAGGTGTCGCCAACCTTCAGCTGACGCATCATGTGCGGCACTCCGACGATCGTCGACAGCGGTCCTTGTTAGCGCTTATCGTCCAAAACAAGATCCTCGCAAAGCGCACACATCTGGTTACCCTGGCACAGCGGTAAGGTGCAGAATGATGATCAGGTCGGGTCCACGTCGTGAACACAGCTCAGATTTCACAGTGTGCGTCTCCGGCATCTAGAGAGAGCGGCAACTGGCGCGGAGTGCCGCACTCTCGATGTTTGTTCACAGTATCGCTAGTGCCGTATCTAGGCGTGATGAATTTCGAATATTTAGGCCATCCCACTGCATCGCGTATGGGAGATCGTACGCTCGCGCAAGTAGGAAACTATGTGATGTTTAGCAGAACCATGCCACAAGACGCTGCTTATGAAATCGCGAAACGCGCACCGCCATTTTCAGAGTTACCCGACCGCAAGAGACGAAAATCACTAAAGTTAGCTTAAGTAGCTGTTCTATGTGTCGTGTAGCCTAAGCGCAGTTAAAATAGCAGTTTGCCTGCTAGTACTGATTCGGACTTGCACGTGTAATCGCTTTGGCTTTAATATATTTTTAGAGAATTTTTGTACGTTCTGATTGCTCTGAGAAAGAGAAACAATTGTTCAACATAGACGTAGACAACATAGAGCGAGAAGGTAGGAAGCTAGGTTAACCAGGAGGACTTTCGGTTAGCTACCCTACAATTTGGGGAGGAGAGTAGAGAAATATTCAAGAAAGGAAAAGAAAAAGGGAGAGAGAGGCAGTGAATTCACTGCAGCGTACGTGTAGAACTCCACCGCAAGTGGGAGGTGTTTTTAAATGTATATACTGCGCCAGACTATACTCAATACTGTTTTTCATTTGAAAATATTTGAAAATAAAGTTCATTTCAGTTCTATGATTTTACATGAAATAAAACAGCACGGCACTAGTGTGAGTCATACCTCAGTTGCGAATTTCGGGTTAATTTTGAAACTGCAACACAGCTGTTGTAGAGACCCGCAGTTTTGAAAAGCCGGATATCAAAATAATAAGACCATCACTGTTTGGGAGGAATATCCTTCAATGAGAAAAGCCTGATGAAGCTTCAGACACAACTAAACTACAGTTGGCGGGACGTATTTACATTTGCTTGATATACATGCGATATCGTTAAATAAAGTGCGACTTACTTGGGTCGATGGCTAAATTGGTTAACGTGGTTGTGAAATGGGGTGTTAAATTGCGACTTACTTGGGTCGATGGCTAAATTGGTTAACGTGGTTGTAGGAGGGGGTGTTAAATGAGTGAACACGTACACACGTATGCGAAAGGGCGGCGCTGGTCGAAGGGACGTCGATCATTGTGTTTGTGGATTCGTTGGAATTAATTTCACCGCGACCTTGGACGTCGACGCGCCGTACAAACCAACCGACGAGCGGCAACTGAGCGAGCGAGCGCCGACCTTGAGTATATATATATACAATGCGACGGCGCATGCACTGTCAGCTGTTGAATGTTCTCGAAGCGCGACGCCACATGCGCGTCCACTGGAGAATCAGGAGAATTGTAGATGTCGAACGCGGTGTGTAGAGGAGGAAGGGTGCACAGATGGTGGAGGAGTGAAGCGCGCGCGGTGTGTAGAGGAGGAAGGGATGCACAGATGGTGGAAGAGTGGGCGACGGCGTATGCGCGCGCGTCAGCTGTCGAATGTTCGAGAAGCGGTGCGGACGGCGCACTACAAGGCACGAGTATAAGATGCTCCGCATCTAAAAAACAGTTAGCGGGATAAATTCTTAAATCTGCTTGCTAAGTGATCGTATATATTATTCTGCTACGATTCCTTGATATGTGTTTACTTTCTTTTTACAACATTTTGCTTATTTTAAAGCACACAAAGTATGACAGAGCGAATAATAACAAAAAGAATGAATTAATTGAACCTTTTATTGACAGAAAAGGACGACTCTGGGCCAAAGTTCGAGAATAACTGAGGAAGAGAACAGCAACGGCCAGGTGTGCGAGGCCATGCAAGATTTCATTGAACAGTCAAGGAGGTTCACTCAATAACCTCAATACAAAATGTTCTCAGTTAACAAATGTAGGCTACAGAAAAATTCTCTTTGATATCAATAATTTATTGTTATTTCAGTAGGAACTAAATCATTCATTTTTTTCTCAAGATTACTTTACAAAAAAATAAATATTTGTGTTATCATTTTCGCTGGTACTTTATATATATATATATATATATATATATATATATATATATATATATATATATATATATATATATATATATATATATATATATATATATATATATATATATTCTTTTTTTGTTGTTGTTAAGCTGCCCAATCCTAGGCCAATACCCCAGATTGGGTGTGAGTCACAAATTAAGATTAAGGATCTGCATCTACACTGTTGGGTGTACGGCGTAGGCACATTAAACAAACATCAGTTGGTATTCATTCGTTTTTAGCAGAGGTTCCATAGACTTGCTCTTGCGCGAGGTAGCAGACGTCTTACACACCACTTTAAACAAGAAGAGAGAATATAAAAAATACTCATTAGAATAAGGTTTAAGTGAGCGCAAAGCACGTGCCTTGCGCTGAAATGCGGCGCCTGTGCACGATGGTGCATTTATGCACCACGTTCACGTATGAGATTAGTCGGAGAAAGGCTCATACCACGCGACCAAGCCGTAATAAAAAAATGGCAGCATATCCACGGAGTGAATGATGGAGAGTGGGGCGAAGCATTCGTCCGTCCATGCGTCCGTCTGTGTGACCGCCCATGTGTCTGTTTGTGCGCCCGTCCCTGCGTTCTTTCATGCATCCACCCCTGCGTCCGTTCATGCGTCCATCCATGCATCTGTTTGTGTGTCCGTTCGTTCATCTATTCAACACTCCAAGTCCCACCATCTCGCATCTTTTTATCATATATTCCCCATATAGAAGCACCGCCATCCAGCGGACATTCCAAGGACTAAACGAGAGGTGGCACACGCACACTTTCTTACGGCCTGCGCTTTGGGTCCACTTCCCACCTTTAACCACCTCGAGTTCATGGTATATTCTAGTTCACTGTATTCATGGCACTGCGACCAAACGCTCGCTAAACCTTTCGAAAACCAAGGAGGTTACGCCCGGCGAGTATAACGTAGCAACCTTTCCCTGTCAGATAGGGCTCAATTTACATGCCAATGGCTGCTAATGGGGATCGCAGCGTGCGCGTTACCTAAAGGCCGAATGCTCCTGTCTCTCTTCCCCCTTAGCAGCCATTAACATGTGCATTGAGCACTAGCTTTAATTGTTCAACAACGCACAGAAGAAATCTCTCACCGGAACCACCTTGGAGGTCAAAATCGTAAGGACCGCTATTTCGGGTATGTGCCACTGGTGGTTACATACGAGGGACGCACAAGCCACGCCATAAGGAGCTTCGCCCCTAAAATCTTGAAGGATGATCTGGCACACGTGTTGTGGAGCTTAAAACTGCAAAGATCAGAAAAGCCAGCGTTGGTACAGCGCTGCCCGGTTCTAAAGGATGTCGGCAGGCCTATAGGAAGTGGCTGCTGACCTGGACGATCGAGTGATGCTGCCCGGACTTACTGCTACTTTGCACAGCAGTTCCTGAGAGGACTACAGCAATTCCACTTGAGCCAGAACGAATGTGGCCCACACCAGTCATCCCAAGCAACCTTGGCCGACGATCGTTGCAATAGAAATCTGTTGCACATAGAAATCCACCCGAAATTGGACATTTTCTTTTTTTTCTTCTTGGAGGAGAGAGAGGAGGTCGATGAACGCTGTCTTAGAGAAATAAAAGTGACGCTTCCCACGCTTTATTTTATGCCTGCATATGGAAGTTGTTATTAGTACGACAATTTGACATTTATACCATGCCTTTCGGGAATCGTTGTCATGCGAAGCCGTCAGCGAGCAGTGTCTACGTTGTTTTTTTTCTTTTCTTTTCTTGAAGCGTCACTTTGTGGGCTGGTGTGTTTGCGTAGTAGTTCTGGGCATATGCATCATGGGTTTACCAGGAACGTCGAATACTCTAGCAGTAAAAACTGCAGGTACCTGTTAAATGTGCACTAGTTTTCCACTCAATCGGTGCCCCACCGCGTTGCCAAACCCATCACCGACTTAACCCAGACAACAGTCGACATCTTATGCTCGTCCTCAAAAGGCACAAATATCCTCATCCGTTTGGCAGCATCCTGAGAATGTTTCCAGAACATCATTTGCGGGATTACCCTTAAAATGTTCTCATGGGGATGTGTTTAGGACAGCAACCCGCTTGGCTGTTTATGAATAGCAATAGCATTTGTGCAATGAACACCATCTCACTCCAGATTTAATATAAAAAATACATTTACCGTGAGACGTCCCCGCTACGCCACCGATTACCAAAGAGAGGGAAGACCACTCAACCCCTTGTCTATCCGGTTCCCTCTTGGCTATGTGTCTCAATCACTTTCCACATACAGGGATTCGTGCTGGGGCCGGGAAGTAAGAGACGCTACGACCTATTTCTGTTTACTGATTTATTAAATTTAATACTAACTACAAACATCGTATACCCGCGTACATCAACCACTACACAAAATTATAACACATGATTTACACGCTCGTGGCGTTCGACACAGGGCAGGCACATAAAGAAACTGCTAGAATACAAGGGTATGCATATAAAAAAACACACAACGACACAAATGATAAAGACATTAATTAATAAAACCGCACAATGTCTCAATATGCCGCATCCCTTCCCGCAAAGATCGTTTAAGTAAGGGCGATGAAGTTCGTCTAACAGAATGTCCATGTAGTTGGGGCCTCGGAGTTGGCTGCTCGAATCGGGGCCGAAGGTTGGTTCTTGGCGTCGAAGTCTGATCTGTCCAATTCGTCAGCGTCTTCATCGTCTTCGTCATCGTCGCCTACGTCGTGCCTCTCAGTGATTTCCATCTTAGCCCTCTTTCATAACGCTCCATTCACTCGCCTCCTATCCCTAACTTCCATTCCTCATCGTACCGTCCTTGCCCCAGTCATCATCTCATCGCTATCTCTTCGCACCGTTATGTTTCTTCTCCATTCTGTCTCTCTACCATCTCGAGCTCATCGCATCGTATCTCTCTGACTCGCTTCGCATCGTATCTCTGACCCCCCTCGTATCGTCTCGTAGTCCCTTTTTGTAGGACCCGACTCCTCCCTACCGGGGCACCAAACCAATCACCACTATCGACGCGGCATATTTTCTTGTCAGTTGGAGTATGTCATCTTTGACGGCCGCTCCCGTAGCCCACATCAGTAGAAAACCCTCTCCCAAACAAAGCCGAGCAAGTAACAATATACAAACTCAAGCCTCAGGGAGAAAGATGGGCGAGCCGTCCGAAGACACTTTAATTACGGGCGAACA